CCCACAGATGGTCCCACAGACTGTCCCCCCAGGTCCCACAGACAACGGTCCCCCTCCATCACCAGTTCTGAGTGGACAGGACTGGTCCCAGAGCCATTCTACTGGTGCCAGAGATCCTCCCCTGCGACTCCACCCCTCTGTGAATACAGACTGGCCAGCATGAGCCCTTCCTGAGCCTCATCTAAACCCCGCTGAAGGGTTTCCAAGAGCTGGCTCAGGCCTCTGCTACAGCAGTGCCGCTATATGGAGGCTCTGATGTAAAGTTTGGGTTGTTTTTTATTTTAAATGTCAGTGCCTCTCTTTGGTCAGCAGCTGGAGAAATCATTCTTTAAATCGCCAAAAATAACACTAAAGCAGAAATACCTAAACCTTCTTTGTTTCATATCATTCTTTTTGTGCTGAGGAGGGAGCAGGGTGAGCTTCTGGCTCTGGGAACATCTCAGCTGCTGTGAGAGAAGGCTCCATGGGAAGACCCCTTTGCTCTCAGTCTAACACTCACACCTAACCCCACAGAATTGCTACTGCAAATAACAGAATCCAAAATTCCCCTACACATCCTCTGGAAAAGTTAACCAAAATGCAGCTAGCACTGAGGCAGAGCTGAAATGCACCTGCAGCTCCCACACGCTCCTCTGCAGCCCCACAGCTCTGGTGGGTACCCGGGAGTTTCCCATTACAGCAAGAGCAGAAAGACGTATTTCCCAGCGTAAATCCCCCAGCAAGCTCCCCGTCCCCACCCAGAACTGCACAATCTGGCTACAAATCACTTGCACCCAAACACGCAACAAATATCTTGGCAGTGCTTACGCTCAATGGCCAGCCATTTGAATGGCTTTGATGTTTATTGCCATTACAGCTGCGCTGGCTGCATCCTGATTATTATTGTTAGCTGTTTATACAGCCAGGGCCCTCCATGGAGGGGAGCAGGGCCCTGCCAGCAGCGGCACTGGGAGGAAATGGTTTCCAGCACCGTTTGCACGAAAGTCCCCTGGGTATGACTGCAGGGAGCCGCGACGCGTGGCAGTTTTGTTGTTCGTACCTATCCTGCTGCCCAGCCCCACGACGTGCCTTGGGTCTCTTCCTGCTGTGTGCATGTCCATCCCTCTCCGCTGTAATTCAATCAGGATGCTAAGCACCTTCACCAAAAGAAAACACCGAATATAATGGGACCTTTGATTATTTAAGTTGGCAGGGAAGGCATAACAAGCAGCAGTGGCCAGAAGTCAGAGCCAGACATGCCCAGCTTTGAAATACCGTGTGGCTGTGTTTATAGAGCCATGGCCATTTATTCCTGAGCAAGGTGCCAGACGTGGATGTCCATCCCTCGGCCTCTTCACAGCAAGACCGGTCACTTTTCCGCAGCAAAGCTCAACATGGCAGACCAGGGCAAGCATTTCCTTAGCCAGGTGAACCCCGGAGACTGAGCACTGGAAAAAAAACCTGCTTATTCAACTTATTTACAGAGGGTGGAACACGATCCCCTTGCCCTAGCACCAGGGATGCTGGAGCTAGCCCACAGGATGGTCCCATCGGGGATGGAGGGCAGGGCAGCAATGTCACCTCCCTTGCTCTTAGCTTCCTCCCTTCCCTCGAGGCTCCATTCAAGCTCTCCGATTTCTCCTCAGCTGCACCAAAAATGGTTGGATAAACTGCCAGCTCAGCACCTCTATCCCGTGTAGAGCATAGCTGTTTCTTCAGTGATTCTTGATGCTTCCACATGCCACGTACACTAAACAGCACCTGTGATAATTTAAAAAAGAAAATGCGTTACAAGCAGCTACTTCTCCCCATGGAGGAACAAGACAATGGCTTCTGTAAGGGAATTTTGGAGAAAGGAGCTGTTTGAGTTTGGCAGCTGCTAGAGGATATTGGCCCCCATGACGATCTCAGCACACTGTTTTTTGTGCTGAACATACACAGAATACCTTAAGGCACTTGCAAACCCATGTCCAGAAATTGTGTTGTAAAGCTGTTTAAGAAGAGGAAGCCCAGTGACAAAAAGAAAACTCAGCAAACCCTTGGGATCGATGGAAATAGCTTAAGTCACCACAGGTTCTCCATGGGGTCAGCTGCACCCCCGGGGAGCAGGCTGGGCCCCACAGCACCCCCATCGACGGGGCTGCAAAAGGGGTACATCCCCCTTCCTCAAAAGAAGCTTCTCTATCTTTTTAAGAAGGGCAACCATGTGCCCCAAAGACCTTTGTTTCCATTATATTTGTTGATTTCATAAACTATGTTACATTCCTTCCCCTTGGGGCTGTCAGGCACTGGAAGGGGCTGCCCAGGGAAGGGGTCGAGTCCCCACCCTGGGGGGGATTTAACAGCCGGGCAGGGGCGGTGCTGAGGGCCAGGGTTTGGGGGTGGGATGGCAGGGGTAGGGGAACGGCTGGGCTGGGGGAGCTTAAAGGGCTTTTCCAACTAAACGATTCTATGATTCCATGGTCTGTCCGTAACCCCCTCTATGTTACCAGACTGATGCTCATCTAACCTGCTCTTCAAAACCTGCAGAGAAGGATGGCCCATAATTCTCCTGCACAATCACCCCTGGCAACTCACTACCCTACGTTAAGGCAGTTTCCTATTGCCCAGCCTCCCCTTTCCTTGCTGCAGTTTTCTGGTCCTGTTCCCAATGGATTTAGAAAACCAGTTAGTCCCTTCCTCTCTGTGTAATTAAAGGTCTGATCATAATCTCCTCCTTCATGGACTAAACAAGACAGTTTTGCCAGAAGCTAGAAGAGAAAAGCATGGAAAAGATCCGAAAAGTCGGATCTCATTTTCACAGCCAAATCCTATCTGGAAAGAGACCATGTTTTATTATGTATTCACTGCAGCTTACACACTGTTTTGGTTCCTGTTTGGCTGGGATCATTGTCATAAAGGCTCAGACAAAAAAAAAACCCACAACAATTGCGACTCCAACACAGTTAGGTGAGAAAAATGAGATTGATTGGGAGCTCGCTACACCCCGACAGTCCCAAGGGGCGAGCGCTGAGCCAAGCCCTGACAACCCACGTACACTGGATGCTAAAGATCTCATTCCAGATACACACCGCTATCGGGGCATTTATCCAACCTCTTTCAGACACCGTAGGCACCTACCACGAAGTTCATCGCCTACACCAGCCACAGACCACTCTTGCAATGGAGCTATGCGGCATTACGAGGGGACAACGAGCTGGAAGGATTCCACCTTCGCTGCTGTCCCTTTTCGTCCGAAACCTTGAGCTCCTGTGGGACTCTGGTGAGGTGGATCACCATGGAATCAGATTCAGCTGGTTTCTGTAGCTGCAGTTTCTTTCATTAATCTTAACTACAAGACAGCACCAGGATCACCAGCAACAACCACTTAAAGACACCAGTTAGGATGAACATTTCAAAAACGACAGACTCAAAGTCACCTTTTCAAAGTTAAGCCAGTTGGGTTTGATTTGAGCCTTTAAAGTACATTTACATTTTCCAGATCTTGTCCCCAAGTATGGGAACCGGACATTTCTTTTTCCCATTTTAAATAGCAGCATTTTTAACTGGCATCTCATCTAACCATAGACTCCAGGAGCTGGGGCTTAAAGAAAAACACCTGGGATCCTGAGAGCAGGCAACATGGGGGATTGGTACAGCGATGCTTTGTCATAAATCCAAAGCAAAAACAGGAAGAAAAAAAAAGAAAACATACAAAAAACCCTTTCAGTTGAGAAACTCAGTGCAGCACCTACAACCCTGGGAGAGCAAAGCCCTGCAGGGACCGACAGGACTGCCCACCCCTACCAGGGAAGGCAGCTCTGAGCCAGTCCCCAAGCTGCAGCCCCCTTGCTGCCTCCAGACTTACATGGCCACAAGGCTCCAGCCAGCTCCCCAGGATGCAAACACACGGGGCAGAAGGGACAGAAGGATCAGAGGCAGGAGACAGGAAAACAGCCCTATCGGTTCCTGGAAGCCTTTACAAGCCTCACGCATCCACTTACTAAGGTCTCAAGGGAACAAAGCGTTCAAACCTGTGTCTTAGCTCCAGAATACAGGACAAACAGCCCTCCTCTGCCAAGATTGGGCTGGAGGCAAAGAGCTCGTGGGGAGGGAACGACCCTGGCCTTGCGTTTTACCTGTAACAGAGGAAGGCGGCTCCCTGAAGGGTTCAGCTCTGTCTGGGGAAGAGGGCATTTATCCTGGCTGAATAAACTCCGGTACTAATTTACTCAGAACCTGATAGTTTTGCAGTCCGTGGTTGCTACTACTACTTGTTTGCTAATGCTTTTGGGGAAATCCTGTATTTCAAAGTTGTTCCTACAAAAGACGAGGAAAACCCAAACCACACAACCAGAAGAACACCAATGCATTAGTGACAGTCACAGATTAGCACCACTGATACTCTTATTCTTTCATTGCAGGTACTACAACCTCCACAAACTCCTCCCTCCACGCTGTAACAGGTACCTCCTGGGTTGTGACCTGCTTTGAGCATCTATTTGGATGTGGATGCATGTGCCCACGCGGGGATGCAAATGGGAGAGTCCACAAATGGGAACCAGATTCAGAACTCCCACCCC